TGTATGCATGCTTGGGGATCTAAATGCAAGAACTGGTACTCTTCCAGATTTTACTGTAATTGATAGGTACATTTCAGATTATTTGTTTGATTATGAAACCAAAGATTTGTTAAATAGAAATAATCTTGATACTCTGGGTTTTCCTACAGAAAGATTCTCTGTAGACAAATTTTTTAATAATTTTGGCCGCAGACTTATTGATTTTTGTAAGTCTACAGATGTTCACATAGCCAATGGTAGATTGTGTAAAGATGCTAACATTGGTGAAACAACATGCAAGGGTGTTAGTGTAATCGACTATGTCTTACTTTCACCAGAACTATTTCCTCATGTTAAATGCTTTGAAATTTTACCATTTGACCCGTTATTGTCTGATGTACATTGTGCAGTGTCTTTTGCATTAGATTCTGGTATAAATCAGACTGTGTCTTGTACATTGGATAGTGATCGGTCACGTGATACTGTAAATGATGTAGTTAAACCATTTTGGAATTCTGAAAGTTCAGATGAGTTTCTGAATTGTATTGATTGTGAAACTGTTAATATTATTTGTTCATCAATTGCTACCCATAGTAGTGAAGGTACATGTTCACTTGACTTTATTAACAAAGTCACAATTGAAACTGGTGAGATACTTACTTCTGCTGCTGAAAAATGTAATTTAGTTAAAATTGTACAGAGAAAGGCTAACTCCTCAAAAAAGTCTAATAATCAGTGGTTTGACTTAGAATGTAGGGATAGTTAGAAGGAGTATTATCTTTCTAAGCGTAATTACAGATCTTTTCGCACGCAAGATAACTTATTAAATCTGAAAACTTGTAGTAAGAAGTACAAGAAATTATTAAATACTAAACTTAGGAGTTACCAAGAAAGTATTGTTAAAAAATTAAAAAGTCTAAGATGTACAAAACCAAAGGAGTACTGGTGTCTTCTCAATAAATATTCGGGAGAACGGAAAGAGGTAATGAACAAGGTTTCGTTAGAAGCATTTCATGATCATTTTCGTAATATAAATAGTGATGATGATTCTGAAGATTTATTTACAGCATTTGATATTGAATCAGTTTCAGAATTTAATGATATATTAAATCGCCCATTCACTACTTTAGAAATTGACAAAGTTATTAAAACTTTAAAAAATAGCAAAGCATGTTCACCTAAAGATAATATACTAAATGAGTATATAAAATACTCAAAAGATTTGTTATTACCATTGTATTGCAGCTTATTTAATCTTGTACTTGAAACAGGAATTGTTCCAGATACATGGTGTACGGGTATAATTTTACCTATTTATAAAAACAAAGGGAACGAAAATAATGCTGATAATTATAGAGGTATAACCATTTTAAGTTGTCTTGGTAAATTGTTCACATCAGTTTTAAATTCTAGAATAAATATTTTTTGGAAGAGTCTGGCCTATTAATTGAGGAACAGGCAGGGTTTCGTAATGGTTATGGAACTACGGATCATATTTTTTCCTTAAAAATGTTGATTGATATTTACTTATCGAAGAAAAAGAGATTGTATTGCTCTTTTATTGATTACAAGAAAGCATTTGATAGTATAAACCGTACTGCTCTCTGGAGGAAATTGTTAGCACATAATATTGATGGGAAAATACTTAAAGTTATTCATAATATCTATGACAAAGCTAAGTCTTGTGTTAAAGTGAATAATGCATTGTCAGATACATTTGTAAGCGGTTTAGGTGTCCGTCAGGGAGAAAATCTTTCTCCAATTTTGTTTTCAATTTTCCTTAATGATTTGGTTTCTTATATGTCTACATATTGTGAAGGGTTGCAGTTTTTATCAGACCAGATAAATGAACAGTTAAGTAATGATGAAGTTGATGTATTCTTGAAGTTGTACTTATTACTCTATGCTGATGATACAGTTGTTTTCGCGGAAAGTCAAACTGGCCTTCAAACACCACTAAACTGCATGCTTGATTATTGTAAATTATGGCATTTGACTGTTAATACCGATAAGACAAAATTTGTTGTATTTTCTCGTGGTAAATTAAGAAATAAGCCTGTATTTTATTTCAATAATGCACCTCTAGAAGCTGTAGATGATTTTAGTTATTTAGGTGTGATATTCAACTTTAATGGTAAATTTAATAAAACAAAAAAGCACTTGACAGATCAAGCGAGGAAGGCTATGTTTAGTATTTTAACTAAAATTAAGAAATTGTGTTTGCCAATTGATATTCAGTTACAGTTGTTTGATAGTATGGTTAAGCCAATATTATTGTACGGGTCGGAGGTGTGGGGATCTGAAAATAATTCTATTATTTCTCAGTTTCAATTGAAATTTTATAAATATATACTTAAACGTAAGATGTCAACTCCTTCGGTTATGGTCTTGGGAGAACTAGGTGCATTTCCCATTGAAAATGATATTACTTGCAGAATGTTAAATTTTGGAGTAAATTAGTTAATGGTAAAAATGATAAAATATGTGCTTCTTTGTACTGCACTATGTATAATCTTCATGAAAGGGTATTTTACATTGTCAGTGGATTGAGAAGTAAACTCAACTTTGAACAATATAGGTTGTTTTGATTTTTGGGTAACTCAGAATGTTGCAAATTTTAATAATTTTAAATATGTAATAAAATCACGATTACGTGATCAGTTTTTACAAGTATGGAATAGTGATTTTTTGATTCTGCTAAGTGTTTAAACTATAGAATATATAAAACTCAATTTAAATTAGAACATTATTTACTATGTTTACCAAGAAATTTAGCAATTGCTCTCTGTAAATTAAGATGTCTCAATTCTAATATTCCTATAGAGAAAGGTCGCTATTTTGGTATTGAAAGAGAAAATAGAACATGCTCACTTTGTAATCAGCAAGAAATAGGTGATGAATTTCAATATATTTCTAAATGCACTTATTTTAATCATGGAAGACACAGGTATATAAGTAACTATTATTCAAGGTTTCCTAGTATTTTAAATTTTCAGGCTCTTATGTGTAGCGACAACAGAAATACTTTATTTAATCTAGCCATTTTTGTCAAAGCTATAATGCTGAAATTTCAATAAGTCATCTTCCTTATTTACTTATTTACTTCATGCCATGTTTGTATTATTATTTTTTGTTTTGTTGATTGTTCACTCTTATGCCCTTAAGGGCCATGAGTTTTGTTTATAAATAAAATAAAAAATAAATAAATAAATAAAATAAAGCAAAGGTTTTGAGAAAACATCGGTACGTGTTACTTCAGGAGATATTTGATACAGAATCAGGCACTGATTGCTATCATGGATTAATTTAAATAAAATCGAAAGGATAAAAAGAAATACGGAATTTTGCCAAGGTTCAATAGAAACATAAATGAACTGGTTATACATATAATGATTTGAAACGTTTTTTTTACATTCGAGTTACTGTAAATTAATAAAACGATATCATTAACACGATGCCTCAACACTATTAAACAACTAGTTTTCATTAATTTTCTTTTCATTTTTATAGTTTGATGTTTGCTTCAGTGGAAACATCTAAGTTTGTATAACATGTATGATTATCATTTCAAAGAGCTTTTGAAAACTTTTCTCTGACTTTTCTCTAAAGAGCATGGTGTCATGTACATCGAGCTTTGTAATTTGTAAAATGATTGAACGCAGCTGTCTTACAATAAGAACATGATATTGCTATGATTATAATTCAAACGTTTGTTGTAAAGACACGCATACATTTAATTGTTTTAGTTTACATGATTTGCATTTCCTTTTGAATTCCAGTTTTAATATACCATTACAGACAAAACAAATCAATCGTGATTTCGCAGTAAGTCATTTCGAAAGACTGGAAATATGATATTATAAAAAAAGATATTTAATGCACATTAGTCTTCAACTTGGAATTGAGCAAGAGGTTGGTTTTGTGCATATTATGTTTTAATAATTGATATTGAGCACGTAATATGTTACCTATGTGAAGATAAAGAGATTAAATGAGGACAAATTTCTCTTGAATATAGAAAATATAAGCATAATGATTTTGATATTTCGTTTTTTGATAACATTTTTACAATAACTTTGACTTCACTCATTGCCATAAGAGAGGTAAAGATGGCCCAGTTGTATGGCCGATGTGAACCACAATTATAAAAAAAGTATCTATAGTGTATATTGATGCTCAGATCAATCAAACAGTTCTGCACAATAATTTATGTTGTTGAAACAATGTTCTTCCACTACGAATATGTACGCATTATATATAAATTATTTAATTGGCTATTGAAATTCATCTTTAATTGTAAGGATAATCGTAAAGTTGGCATTATAGCATTCATATCATTTTAGAGATAAAAAAGTAATATAGAATTTATTGAAAATGTACCTGTCATAAGACTCAATGTTCCGTTTTAACCAAAATAGTTGACATTTCGACGATCGAATCAAATTATCCCACTTTCCAGTCATTTCAACTTTATAGAAAAGCAATTCCAGTTTCCTGGTCACTTATTTTCCGTAAAATTTGACGAAAATAAGATGAATGATAAAATTTTGGACAAACAAAAATATCCTGCCGCTACCTACCGGCTTACCACATTTTGAGTATTGTATATTTCAGTATAGTTACTTTTTGATATGCGTTTTGTTTAATACTGTACTAATGTTAACAAAGAAATATTCCTGTGTCGTTTGGTCAACATATCCATAGTGGTGAAGTAAGATATGTTCTTTAACATAAGATGAGGATAACGACGAACAACAAACGAAGAACACATTGTAATTACGAGGGCCGTCGGTAACCTTTGAGACTACGTGCTTAGGCGGGCTAAACTGGTTATAAATAAAACGCAAGTACACAATTTATCAACTACTCTTTGTAAATTAAACAATATTTATATAATTTATTATATTCATTGTTACTTTTACATTTAAATTGCATCATTTCTTTCCAATTTACCAATTTATACAAATGCTTTTATGGACATGTTTCCCGAATTTGTATTATTTAAAACTTCCTCTTATGCAATTTAACTTTATAAAGCAAGAACAATGCGTCTGGTTCCGTGAGGTTGCAATTTTCTATATGATTTAGTATACTTGTCTGACAATTTGACATTTAACTTTATATATATGACTTCTCAAATGAAACATATAAACTGCAGTATTTTGTTTGGTATGATTTGCATTTTCTTTAGAATTAATAGTTTAAAAATATTTTCTTACATAGCAAAACATAAATAAATATTGAGTTTACTTTGAAAGCTGAGAGTTATAAGGAAACACAATTGAATATAGACGACTGAAGCAGTTAAGCTCCATTTTCTTAAGCTTTTTACAGAAAGGAAAACATGTGCTTAATGATGCTCTTCTGATGACTTGTATAGATGAAAAATATTACCTGTTCGTTACACGAAGACACAAAAAATAAACGTGAACAAAGAACAACCACAAAAACAAATGTTACAAAAATACTTTTCAAAACGTACGCACAATAATAGTGATTTGACTTCCACTTATACTACAATACTCAAAAGTTGTAAATATACGCATAACAAAAAAGTAAAAGACAGTCCATTTATATTGCCAATCATATCTTTTCATAAACTGTTACATATATTTTTTATAACTTTTTAAGAAATAATTTATAACATACGTTAACTTTATTATCTTTTTTTAATTGACTAGTTTTAAACAAACATGGCCAGAAAGATTAAAACATATTCAATGTCTTTCAATGTACAATATACACAGGCGAACAATATGTTTTCCGTAAAATAAAATGAAAAATGAAAAAAAAAATATAGAAAAAAAAAAAAAAATGATAAATAAAAGGAACACGTCAAGTTTTCCTACTGAAAATGATCACCTGATGATCATAATGATTTCATTTTTTTCATGGTTAATTGACTGAACTGAGAAGTTTGACTTTACAAAAATCCAATGAATTTAAGTATTATAACTTTATAACCAATACCATCATATGCAATGTTGTTTGACATGTTCTCGCCCTTGTCTGAATGTCGCATTTAAGAGCAAAACATTGAATTATCTTTTAAAAATAAATCTAGAAAAATGAAACATGTCCTAACTTAATAATCACTTTTGTTGTCACTATTGTCCTCACTTTCCTCATCGTCCATTTTAAGCTCAATAACACAATTAGTACCTGGGTACACCGGTAAATTCAACTCATATTTTTGTTCAAGTGTTTTTGGGACAATCCGACCTCCAAGGTAGTGATGTTTGCCTTTAAAAAACTTTGCACAGTTTTTAGGAGCGATAAGAGAAATAAGCATATCTGGTTTCAGTCCATTCTCATCGCCGGACTCGATATCCCATCCTGAAACATGAAAATAGCATTAACTACTCGAATGAATCCAAATGAATATTGTGAGATTAACATACTTTTAAACAGTTCATCCCTTGTTGCTTTTGTCAAAAGTGGTATTAACGTTATTGAGACAGGCTTAAACCAGTACAATATAATGCCTTATGTGCCTGAGAAAAATCCTTTATTAAGAACATGATATTTAACAAAATGAACCGTACATTGTAATGAACCGGAATTGGAAATTGACATCAAATTGTCTGAAGCTTTACATACCAGACGGTACATCTATACTGCAAATTGGTGACTCGACTTTCTTTAAAGTATCCATTACAGACTCAAAGTCCGTTCTTACAGGACCTGTTGATAGAACAAAATAAAAAAGACAATTATTCTATACTTTGTGCAAAAAATCAAAAATTTTGTGTAACTCTCTTTCTTAGATAACTTAATTTTAAGTAAAAAATTGTACAAATCTATACCTAAATGGAAATGACAAAAAATAGCTAAATGATCTGTGATTTTGTAATAACAGAAATGAAGAATTTAGGCTCACAATACAATTTAAAAATAATCATATACATGGAACATTTTCTTTGATTATATAATAAATAATGATAAGCAAACTGATGTGCGTTTATTTGCTTGGTTTGTTTGTTTGATTGATTGATTGATTGAGTGAGTGACTCGTTAGTTAATTGGTTGGTGGTCGGGTGAAGGTCATACCGACAATGCAATGGTCATGCTATTTGAATAAAGATTGGGTAAAATTCAGCATAACAAAGCTCCAATTACCATCAAAGTTTAGTCCAAATAATGCATCAACGACGAAGTCGTACGAGTCTGTAATTAGATGTGCTTCAGACGGAAAGAACGATAATAAAGGCATGTCCAAGCCTTCGCATTGTTTATACAGGTGGTTGAATAGAGGCTTGTTCGGTCTCTTTGGATAGAATATTGTTGGCTTATACCCCTGCAATAAATACAACAGAAGACATTAAAAGAAGTATGAACATAAAATAAAGATGTAATTTAATTGCATTGATTTGAGTACAATTTTATTTCTATAAAGTAAAGGAGTCTGCGCTAGGTGCAAAGTATAATGCTTTCATTACAAGGTTGCCTTTTATTCTATTACACTCTATTTAAAAACATCAGATGCAAATGTAAAACAAGTGATCATAACAGTGGTTGAAAAACGTAAACCTAGATAAGTGACAGATGATAACAAGATAAAAAAAAACAAAGTTAATTTTCATATGAAGCAAAATATGCGGGAATCAAATATAAAAAACCCAAATATTTAATTTAAATAATCTTTGGTTTAAATGATAGCAAATTAAAAAATGAAAGACAGTACTTGCACACACAGATACTGTACATCCTATAACTACTGTATCGGTAGTGCAGAAAAAATGAATTAAAAACAAACAATAACATACAAACATTTTCAGATGTCTGGCACACACAAGTCCATGCCCGCCATTATTTCCAGGTCCACAACAGACAAGGACAGCATGGTTATCTTTTGTCATCTTTTCAACTGGGTAACACTTAAAGACATGCCATTATTATAGAAGTCACCAACACTTTAACAATCTAAGCATGACAAAATTACCATCAAATTTGCTCACATTGCTTTTAACACGATATGGTAAATACTGCGATTGTACTTAGCTGCCCAACTAATACATGAATTTAAAGCTTTTAAAATTATGCCAGACATATTAAATCATGTTGGCGTAAAATAAGGTGTCTTTGATCTTTTTCAAAGTGTACATTAATCGATAACTGCGGTGCTTCATTATAAGCATCCTTTGTAGGGTTTTTTATATCAATCTTATCAGAACATAATTATCAGGTTTCCATAATCATAAGCATCATAGGCATTTGCTAATTGCAAAGACAATATCAAAAATTCGTGAGGAAAGGTTTTCATAAAGGACAATTGAACACTGAACAATTATAGCATCATATCATAGACCTTGCTGATCTTCGTTTCCAAGAAAATAAATATTTTTATTAAAAATTAATACATTTCTTTTACGGAAAACAACGTAAGAGATATAAAGCAATAAAGAAACTCCAGTTTGAAATACAAGTAATAACTCACATTTGCTATGGCAACAGCACAACTATATCCCGAAAGCTCCATAAGTTGATCAACACTAAAGGCATATTCTGTGAATAATTCTTGCTCGATTTCTCTGGCCTCTTTCTGACTGAAACAATAAAGACATTCCAATTTTTGTCGTCAAATACAGATCTTAAACATTACACTGGTTTCATCACAGCTTTGTAAGTAATTAATTAGTTTTGGATTTTTTTATATTTCATTAATTGGGTTCAATGAATAAGATATTGAAAATAAGAAATGTTTAAGGGTCATAATAAAATGCATGTGTGGGCATGGGTGATAACTTAACAAGCTCTCTACCGTAACGAAGTGTTTTGGAGTTTTTTTACGAAATGTTTCTTAATATTTCTGTTTCATTGTGTGTTTCTTTGTGTTTGTCTAAATGGGAACGTTTTAAGTCATACGCTTCGATGTAATGTCTTGTGGTTCCAGTATTCCTACTTGAATAATGTTGAATCACCCTTAGGATATGTTGCCTGCTTTTTAAATTTGTCTTTTGACGTCTTATCTGTGATATGCAGGCTTCATAACCTCTGATCCCCTTTCAAAATTCCATTTTATTTAGTTCTGCCCATTGTTTTCTCGTTTAGGGCACACGCTTTTTATTACTTGGGGACCATACGCCGCTTTTCATGGAATGGCACGGAAGTGTCACATTGAAGGTTCCATGATAACCGCCGTATGAACACATCTGCGGATGTTTATAAATTCAAAATTTTACTATTGCATGTTTAAATGTTGAATTCTGCTTAAGCCGGTGCTAGGGGGCGTGGACGGTAACTTGCACTTTCCAGTACCGTCCATGAACAGGCTCAATCAAACCGAGCCTGCAACATTTTCAATTTTGCCGTGTTGGGCTTTATTTAGGGATTCTGTATTTATCTATTTTGTCAATCTAATTCTACAGACTAATTAAAGCAAATATTAAAATCCTGGATTCTGATGTTGACAGCGCTGAAGCACAGATAGTTTCAACAATAGTTTTATTTCAACAGACCGATACATTGTTATATCTGGTATTAAATCAGAGCCTAATCTTCAAAATCTGTGCACATAAAAGCATAATAAAGTTTTCTAGCTACTGTCGTATTAATTTGATACATTATAATGAATGTATACTTCTAAACAGCCTTTAACCGAACATCTCAATTTATGTTTGATAGGTTTATAGGTCGAAATTCGGTTTTATAAAGGTTTAAACTGCATGTACCAAATTTGGGTAAATTAAGGTCTGGAGGAGACATGATAAAAAGGGTTGTTTCGGGAGGAAAAGCTGAATTTCTAGAGATTAAAAATAACCGGTTAGAAACACTTCTTTTCAATCCGTGTTGTTCGACATATTTTGGATGACTTTACAAATAATTTACACATTTCCTTTTATAGATAGCAACGTAAATCGTGTTTATAGAAGCGGTTAAGGAATGGTGGAGGGGGCATGTTGAATGTCGCTTGCAATATATTAAAAGGTTAATTAAAAACAGAGTAACTTTGAATGGCTCTTGATCTTTTGATTTCTCTTTGTTACCCTCTCCCAAGTGGGTTTCGCCTTACTTCATTCTTCTTTTACAGAATATCACTGACATTTAATAAATTAAGATAGTTATGATTTAAGACAGCTGTGTGTCGTTCCATCTGCTCATTATAAGTATATTGCTATCTCAGGATTTTTGCTTCACATATTGTCGTCTTTCTTTTTAGGAACATGAGATGGCTTTCTGTTAGCTCAAGTAAGAATATGATTTAAATAACAAAGGCAATTCTTGAGTATCTTAATGTGTCTGAAAATAACAAGAATAAAACTCTTCTTGTTTATTAAAACACACACTTTTTTTAACTTACGGTAAAATTTCTCTGTATGTGAGAGCAAGTTTGACACAATTGACACAAATTACTGCTTTGTCACTACATATTACCTCAACGACCAGTTTTTTAACTCAAATTTTGCAACATTATGTACCTTAATTAACATGTAAGATATTGAGGAGAGAAACGCATGTCATTTTATTGATTAATGTTTAGGCTCCATTCACAACATATCTTATTTTTTCTGCAGTAATTAAAAGTGGATTTGGTGTCATTTCTCTAGAGGTATAAGTCTTTTCTACATAGTTTGTTGGGTGTTTTCATTTACAGATAGACTATAACTGACTTATAGTTAAAATAGAGATACTGCAAACAACGTTTTTTATCCATGTCATGTGAAGCTGTTACATTTGTATAACCATCTCTATAATTTCTTTTCAGACAGCTAGGTATTGATAATGCAGGGAGAAAATGCATCAATAAGAAATGCATATCTTAGGTCTTGATATGTTTTACAATATGAATTGGTCCATGTGTGTACAATGGGTTTAGGTTGACGATGTAGAGTCAAACCATGGTCTCTACCGGCCACTGGAGTCAAAATCTCTCTTGCTGTTTCCAACAACTATTATAAAATATCGAGATTTATACGTTTTGCGTACCTTAAACGCCACCCTTCCTTGTTAACCTTGTTTTTCATATTTAAGACGTTCCCCGCCACATTGTGTGCGATTTCGGCAGAAAAAAAACACTTTATTTTATTTTCAAAAGTTTTTAAGATTTGGTTGCTTTGAAAGATTTTTTTTTTAATTTACTGATAACATAAAATAGGAAATAGGTGAAATAATGAAGACACATGAAAAACCTGTTTACACGCCCTGTATAACAACTACTTTATTTCAAACCACCGTTAGTTTTTGCAGATTATTCAAGTACGCATTATACATAAATATTCAAAAATATCTTTTCTACAAAACATTGTAGAATGCATGCCTAATGCGCCGGTTTATTCAGTCTCAGTTAACAAAAAAGAAAAGCTATGGAAAACATAAATGCTGTTTGACGTTCAAAATAGATTTGAGCCAGCCAAACCATTAATTCTATTCATACAAAATATGTAATCCTATTATTAAACAAAGTTGAAAGAGGTTTACAAGTGCCATATTTTATATAAAAATGGTCTATGCAATCATTTAAAATTCTAGATTATACAAACAATAATGCATCATGACCTTGCCATATTTTCATTTGCAAAATTCTAATAAAAAAAGAACCAAACCAATTTCATAATTTGAAATTATATAATAGAATGGAAGAGGCCAAATATAATGTTACGCAACACTGCGTTTATTATGATGGTGAAAATCTGAATTTGTTGTTTTATTAAACAAATCTATATTAAAATAGAATCAAACTCAAAAGTTTTGTTTAACATAACCTTTTTGAACAATCTTAAATATATTTTTAATATCTTGAATGTATTAAATTCTATGCGTAATTAATTTTGAAACATAATCTTACCTGATGTACTTTAATTTTGGCTGTTCATCTTCTTCAATTTTATCCTCATGTTTGTCTTCTTTTTGCTTATCCTTTTTATGACTTCCTTTTCTACGAAATGAAAATCTGTTCACAGAAATCTTATCCATCTTTTTCCTTAATAGTTTGAAGTATATTTAAATTATGAATTATTTTAATCTTAAAGAGCAGCTGTTTACAAAGTGATTGATTTAAGAAAACATTTTATAAATTAAAAAAGAAAGCCTATTGCATAACGTATTCATAATATTTTATCCATTTAAAACCTAGCTTTATTTTTCACATAAACAAGTTATATCAGAATTATATTATGAGTTTTAAATCCTTATTTAATTATCCAAAGAAAAGTCATCGTAAACAATGACACTGCAAGATTAAAGTAAAACCCAAGTATGGCTACAGTTGTTTCACAAGACGAGAACTAATACCGCATACAAATGGCAAGCAGACAACGAACGTCACTTCACATATTTCCAATAACAATATTAGATGTCCTCCTCCACTTTCCAATATAGAACTATGATATTGGTTAACCTCTCCTCCTGCTACGGTATTAAACAAATTTGAAATAAAGAATACACGGATGTGGTGTTGTTTTTAGTAAATTATATACCATACATGTACGGGATTACGATAAATTTGTCATATATATAAAACACCTTGTCAAGAACAGTTAACATTATTGTTATCAATTATAATATTTAAGTCGTACAAATAGTTATTCATATCAGTATGATTGAAATTTGTTTTGATTCACGGACTATCAACATGAATGTATATTCACTGTAACATATACAATGCAGTCATCATACGTCGTAGATTTATATGACTTAGAATAAATATTCATAACTAAAACTTTTAAGATGTAGTTTGTTTTAATGATATTTCTAAATGTAACAAAATTCAACCACTTGTCGAGCAATCAAAGGTTGGACTTACATGAATCTTTATATTTATCTATTACGAGGCAATGGAATGCTGATTCACAATATCATCGTAAAGCAATTTAGGCTGCATTTCTGATGCCTCAATCCATAAAAACAACTCCGTCGTTACAAGGGCTGCATGTAAGAAAGTTATAATAGAAAGATAATTATGAAATGTTATAAACAAACACATAGCAGGGAGTCACATCTTCTTTGTTTTAATTTTAGGTAACAGTTTCTTTTGCGACTGGCATCTGGCAATTTGTATTTAATTTTGTAATGAAGTTTTTTCTGCTAATAACGTATTTTTTGTGTTTGAGTAAACAATCAGACACAACAATCACACATTTTCATGATAAATAATCTAAAATAATTATAAACACTGACGTATATAAAATCTTAAAGTATGTAATTATGACTTCCAGTTCTGAAAGTCTGACAGGTGCTTAATGATATATTGAATGAAAGGCAAAAGAATAAGATAATTAATAAATGTTAAATGATTAACATGATTTTTATAATATATGATTTATTAACAATGTAGAAGATTGTCTAGACTATAACATAAAGTAACGCTACAGTGGACCAAGGCAAAACCAAACTGAAACTTCAAAGGTTTTAATTGATAATATATGCATAATTGATTAATTTAGCGTGATAAAAATAACTATACATCAACAATAATTCATTTATGATTAACTTATTCTACTATTAAAAGGTTTCATTCATGTAACGTTTGTGCATCCCTTCATAAATTACTGAAACCTTTGTTTTGTCTTTTCTGAAAAAAGAAAGTTATAGCAAAGACTATCGTATAGCTTAGATTTAATGCAACCCTGTAAGAATAATTAATAAAAATCAAATTTGAATTAATTTACAGATAAAATGCTTTTTTCTGTTACCAATCTCAGCGTCTTTTGTTATCAATCCTGCCTGAACATATCGATAAATAAGCATCTTGATACTTTGTCAGAACTAAAATCAAACATTATAAGACCAGTTTACTGAATCTTTAGATCCGGTTTTAAAACCTTATTGCATTTGCATTTTTGTTCTAGATTACACACCTACCACTGTCATCATACCTATAAGTAACAACGTCAATGAATCAATTTTTGACACATTGGTTAAGAACATTTTTTTCTTTCATTTTTAAGCAGGTTGTCCAGAATTCAAATTCAATCCATTGTAGAGAAAGTTCTGATGCGTTTTTTTCTGTGTGACGACTAAAAATGTTTGTAAGAATTTAAGAATGTATGTTAGTTATCATGTAGCATAAGACAGAAAATAATTAAGTAAATTAACAGAAAGCTAAGTTTTTTTTAAATAAATATTCAATCAATTTATTAATCAATTAATCAATAATTTTAATTTACATTTATAATTTATTAGTTTCTATTATTCCTTAAAGATTTGATTAAGTCTTACACATTTCTTTTTGAGAATAGCATATCAAGAAAACATAAATGCTGAGCAATTTAACGTTTGGAAAAAAGTTTGAATTTATACTGACTTGTAAAGGTGAAGCAATAAAATGTTATCGTTTTAGTAATGAAATAAACAAACAATGCATATTATATAGATAAACCATGCCATCCAGGTATGTATCAACTATGTTATTTTAATACTTTGGACCTGTTTTAAGAAGTTTCTAGGCGTTTATAATAAATGAATGAATGGTTGCAATTATTTTGGGTTTTAGAATCTATATTGATAGTTACAATTGTACTTGACGCTTATATTATCATGATTTTTTCTTTGTAACTGACTTAATTTTTGTAGCGTTAACAGCTAACATTTTAAAAAGATTATGTTCCATATAGGAGTAAGAACACAACTAATAATTTCGTTTACCTTAGTTAATTAAAACTTTATTTCGTTATAAGGACTTTGAGTTAACAAACATAAATTTGTAGATTATAAAGTACAAATGCATTTTTAAGGTTTCAGCATGTATGAACAGTATCAACAGTTTGAACTAGCAGTATATTTCCCACAAGGTAGCATATTAAGTATTTTCCGAATTGTAAATTTTGTATAACAAAATACTTAACCGAATCTGCACCAGTTTCAATTTTGTCGTTTTGGACGTTCTTTTGGGATTCCGTTTTTTCTCACTTTTTCTTTGTCACATCTGTGCTATTTGTACCATGTGGAGGCCGTAAAAAGTTGCCCTTTACATAAAATCAGATATATTATATTTTTCATCATTGAAGACCGTTCAGCACGACATGATTGTTGTGTGTACATGTTTGGGGTATTAAAATTCCTTATATCGGAACTTTTTAAACTTTTTTTATATCTACTTGAAAACTATATTAATCACCATTAGCATATGTTGCCTGCTTTCAAATTTGTCTTATTGACATTTTGTGTGTGATATGCAGGCTTCATAAACTCAGAGCCCCTTTCAAAATTCTATTTAATTTAGTTCTGGTCATTGTTTTCTCGTTTAGGGAACAACTTTCTTTTACTTTGGGGACCATACGCCGCTTTTAAACTGAATGGCACTACATGTTACATTAAAGATTCTATGATAACCTTCATATGAATACATCTGCGAACGTTTCGAAATATAGAATTTCACCATTTTCATGTTTAAATGTTGAAGTTTGCTTAGGCCGGTGCTAGGGGGCATGAACAGTAACTTGCACTTTCCAGTACCGTCTATGAACCTACTCAATCTAACCGAGCCTGAAACATTTTTAATTTTCTCGTTTGGGCATTTCGTTTTCCTCTATTTCCTAAGTGAATACTAAAAAAAGATCTTCGATCATTTTCCTCTACCATGTATCCGAAGAAATCGAAATTAATAGCAAAAACTACAGAAGGAAATATACATCTAGGAAAAGTAATTAAAGTAACAAATAGCATTCAATCGCATTGTCTGAAAAGACCAGTACGTTTATTTTTATATGTAATTATTTCCTTATCACATTGATTTATATTCCTTCTGTGTATTTACTATTATTCTAAATACAAGAGTGATGTGTTTTTGTACTGAAAACAAAGGATCATTTATTTATCAGTATAAGATTAATTTGTAAAGAGCTATAAGACTCTTTGGGATCCGCTTAACGTGTGGAAAAAAACAGAATTGATATTGAAATGAGTGTTGCTTAGAAAATACGTTGGGTTGTCCTGTAAAAAAACTAAATCTCAATTAACATCGACAAATAAAATACAATGCATTTCTATATGTGATACATATCTTCCGCAACTGCTTCTTAGAATAATATTGAATGTTTCAAAGCTATAATAATTAAAAAATATACATAAAACATAACACTGACCACGCCGGATTAACATGACAACATCACATTGGGACGCGTTGATAACCATGGCATTAAGCGTTAAGGTTTAACTCCCCTACCAAGAAATGTCCTATGAGCTTGCACACAGCAAACTCAAGGTATTATGCTGTATGTTCTAAACAGTTTTATAAGTAATTCCCGTAGCTTCTACAATATAAAGGATAGTACGGCAACGGTCTTCTCCGATGTAATTATTCATTGACATCAATAACGTTGGCGTGATAATTGAATGTCTCCCGGGACACTTATTTTCAAACACGATATTTTGCTTCTATTCTAACCAATTAAACAACTTGAACAAACGTTATCTTCATTATCTTTTAGAAAATATCCAAAAAAAAGAGAAATACAGGATCCCTAAAGAAAGCCCAACACGAGAAAATTGAAAATGTTGCAGGCTCGGTTTGATTGAGCCTGTTCATGGACGGTAATGGAAAGTGCAAGTTACCGTCATAAGTCACACGTGTCGTAAGGTTTCCTTAATAGACGCAAAACTTCAATGCTGATTGCATTTCTTGCTGTCCCGGCATCTTTCAATGTTTCTTAGGGGAAAAAAATATGCAAAGACTAACAGTTTTATGAAGCTGCGTCATAAAAGTGCATAAGCAACATGCCCTTTAATAGTTTAAACAGGTAGTCATTTTCTATTTAAGGGAAGCAGAATAGTTATTATCTTTATGGAAAACAGTTAAGTAGATAGAAGTTTAAACATTTAAGTTTATTAAACAAATAAATGAAACAATGTCATAAAACGTAATGCGAGTATAAATCAGGTATATTATTCAAAATATAAATGTCTTAAGTAAGTTCATATGTTGTTTTATTTATTCAAGTTTCCTTATCAAAATAGCAAAAGACAAGACAAAATATGCAAAGCTTTCATTTGCGTTTTCTTTAATTCATTGGAATAAAATTGGTTAATGTACACCATCTGTTCATATAAACAAAGGCATATTGTATTTGTATACACTTTCTTCAATGCAAAACATTTATAAAAACTTATCTGCGAACAATTAATATATTAAACGATGAATTGTTACGGCAAATTTTGCAGAAAATCATACAATTCCTGCAGACATTTATTCATCTAAATGTAATTTATCATAAACATTTACAATCTTCTATAACGATACATTTTGTTAAATCATACATAAGCAAATTAGAGCCTAGACAAAAATACATTTATTTACAGGCTATGAATAATTGTTCTCAAACTTTTTTTTAATATTTCACCAA